CATCTGTGGGTCTGACAGAGTGTGTGTTTGTTTCCTCCTGAACTGTCACAGCCTGTGTTGGTCACCAGTCCCAACAGCATGGCCAGAGCTCCCAAATCCCTCCACCTTTCCCAGAGCAGGCAGGATGAAGGTCACAGTCCAAACCCAGCCCAAGGCTCCCAGCCCATCCCCAGGGGCAGGGCAGCCTCCTGAGGCCCAGGGCACTGAGGCAGAGCTGCTCTAGGGCTCAAGGAAATGAGGGGCCCACGGGGTCTGGGTGCTGGACCAGCTGCATCCAGGGGCTCTACAGGATATAAAAGCAGAGGGTTTGGAACAACAGACATGGATGCCCCAAGAAGCACAAGCCTGGAGAAGTGAGAGCACAAACCCCACTGTCCCCAGTCAGCCTCCCACAAGCACGGAGCTAGGCACAAAGGGAGCACAGTTTTTAGCTTTGTTCCTCACTTATCCAGCCTGGAATGAGGGCCTGGGAAGCACCAGCTCACCCCCTTCCTGTAAGGTCAGCGAGGCTGACTCCCTGATGAGAGAGAATTTAATCTAGTCCTATTTAAAAACAAATCCTGCTCTAGCAGGACCTGCTGTTTAGAGCAGGCCATGAAACAGCAACAGTTCAACCCTGGTGAAAACAAAAAGCCTTGTTCTGCTACAGTTTATGTGCCACCAGCAATTCTGGAAGGGCCACCACAGAACACCACGTGGCCAGAAGAGCTGAACAACTGTAAAGGCTCGGAAGTCTCAGGTTGCTCGGGATGAATGGAACACTTTTTGTGGGTGGATGACTTCAAAGCATCTCACACAGTAATTACAGTTCAGCCTCACAACACCCCTGTGAGGTAGGGATTTTCCTCACTGCTCAAAGGCAGAATCTCACCAACTCGGCCGAGACAAAAGCCGTAAGTGGAAGAACTGGAGATCCCAGAGTCCTGATTCCCAGGTAGCCTGAACAAATACTGTTTCATGGCAGGAAGCGCCCTGTGGAGCACTCAGGAGAGTGTTGCTGGTATCACAGTGTCTTGCAGTCCATTGCAAATGCTGCTTTTCTGTGAGGGGTGTCAGACCAACACAGGATTCATCTGAAGTTGAGTTATTTCACACCATGGAAGAGTTCACAGGCGTGGAAGAATGCTCTGCACTCATCTTCCCACTGTGCTTCCAGAGGCAGACGTGTGGCTTTCCCAGCACAGGGCTCAGGTGTTCACACAGATGTAAGACTTTAAGACTGCAGAACTGAATCACACATGCCAAAAGCAACTGCATCTCACTGAGGTGCTGCCCAGCCACCACAGCAGGCAGGGGACAGCTCTCCAATGGCTCCCCTTGCCGTGGCAGAGCTGATCCTTGTGAGCCTTTGCCTCTCCAGGCCCCACATTCTTCCAAAAAGGCAGCAGCTGCAGCCTGCTCTGAGAAGACACACAGATTGTGCAGACTCCCAGGCTGGTTTACCTTGGCCAGAAATACCAGGAGTTTGAGAAATTGTTTGGGTTTTTTTTTTAAATGAAGTAATTTTGTGGAACAATCTGCACAGTGTACAGAGCGGTGCTCGCTTATGCCTGGTCATCACAAAAAATTTGGGAATCTGGACAGCTCAACTGTACCACAAAAACTTCCCTCTCACCATTTCCCTGCCACCACGCTGCTCCTGCACAAACTGACTGGCACAGAAGAGTCAAAAACAGAGATCCTGACAAACATATTTAGGATTCCCTTGTACGACAGGATATGGCCTGGTCTCCAAGAAGGGAGGGAGTGTTTAAATAGGAAAAGACAAGGTTAAAAAAGATCAGAAAACCCAGACAAGCATTGCTCCAAGTTCCATCAGACCCAACATGTGTAAGAAAGTCACAGCTGAGGTTGCCAATCTGCTCTTTAATCAGTGCCTAGGCATTATTACATGTTTATAACACACATGGCACTTCTGCTGTCAAGTTTCCTTTCCCAGTAAAGTGAGATCCTATAACCACCTCCTAGGGCTCAGGAGAGCACCCCTGGAAGAGCACCCAGCTCAAGACAGTTTCTGCCTGTGCTGTTCAGATTTCCTTGCAGCACACCTGGAGCCAGACAGACATGCCTGCTAAAAAACCAAACCAGCAGCTCCAACAGATCCCTTGGGGACGAGAGCTTTACCAGGCATAATACAAATGCACCTACATAGAATGAAGCAACACACTGCATTTTCGAAAAGCATAAAACAACAATACATCCCCCTCCCAGTCCTTTAAAATTGGCACTGCAAGTTTCAGAAACATCTGAACCCACAACCTCAAAGAAAAGCCATTTAGGGATGTGAACTGCCCACGGCCCCAGAACTGCTGGGTATTTAAAGCCCAGCAACTGCTGTGATCATGTAAGTAAGAGTCAGACTTTGCCAGCAGTTGCCTTGTGCTAAATATTACACCTGCACCCGAAGGATGGTAATTACTGGCAAATGCTGACTTTTCCCCCAGTTTTTGTTGTGCCAGAAACTCCAGGATTCTCCTGCTCTGGGTTTCCTGTCACGAGGTGCTAGTGCAGCTTTGTTACCTGTCATCATAACAGACACAGAGCAAAAGTAAATGGCCAGGTGCTGGTTAAGGTGTTGCACCTCAGGTGTGTGCGTGGAGCACGTAGATTAAGACCACAAAAGATGCTTCAGGTTGGTGGTCACCTCTGCTTCAGTGCTGGGAGCATTCACACCACCCTCCATTCCTTGGCTGAACAGGGATCTGCTCTTGGAAGTAACATGAAAAAGGAAGGCGTGTGCCCAGTGGAAGCAAGGTCAGGTGACATGGGAAGAACAGAGATGCTGCTTGTCACTGAAGGGAGAAAATTCGTGTGGCCAAAGCTCAACTGGGTTTGAGGCTGCAGGAAATGTGGGGGGCAATAAAAAGTTTTTTCAAATACATTAATGGCAAAAGGCAGTGGAGAAATAATATCAGCCCTTCCAGGATGGGGGTTGTCCCCTCCCAAACAGGGACATGGACAAGGCAGAGGTGTTTAACACTTTCTTTGCCTCTGTCTTCAACACAGATGATGGACCAAGGGGGTCTCAGTGTCCTGAGCTGGAGGACCATGACTGTGAGAATGATCAACTCCCAGCTGACCCTGAAATTGTATGGGATCTGCTGCTCCAGCTGGATCCCTACAAATCTATGGGGTCTGATGGGATTCCTCAAGGAACTGCTGATGTCATCACAAAACCTTTCTCGACGATTTTTGAGCAGCCTTTGGAATCTGGAGAGGTCTCAGCTGACTGGAAGCTGGTGAATGTTGTCCCAATTTTCTAGAAGGGCAAGAAGGCAGACCCCAGAAACTATAGGCCTGTCAGTCTCACTTCAGTGCCTGGTAAAGTTATGGAGAAGATTATTCTGGAAGGTATTGAAAAACACCTGAAAGACAACACAGTCATTGGTCACAGCCAGCAGGGCTTCAGGAGAGGAAAGTCCTGTTTGTTGGAACTGATTTCCTTGTACGACAGGGTAACCCACCTAGCTGATCAAGGGAAGCATGTAGATGGGAGTCTTTTTGGACTTCAGCAAAGCTTTTGAGACCGTCTCTGCCAGGATCCTTCCAGACAAACTGTCCAGCCCACAGCTGGATAACCGTGTTACAGGATGGGTGAGCAACTGGCTCATGGTTGGGCACAGAGGGGGACAGTGACTGGGGTGACATCAGGCTGGCATCAGTCACTACTGGGGTTCCACAGGGCTCCATTCTCAGCCCAGTGTTCTTCAGCATCTTTATTAATGACCTGGACACAGGACTCAAAAGAATACTGAGCAAGTTTGCTGATGACACCAGACTTTGACAAATTGGAGGGCTGGGCAATCACCAACCGTGGGAAGTCCAGCAAGGGGAAGTGCTGGATTCTGCACCTGGGACAGGGCAACCCTGGCTGTGTGTATAGACTGGGGAATGAGAGGCTGGAAAGCAGTGCTGGGAAACGGCCCTGGGGGTCCTGGTGGGTGGCCAGCTGGCCATGACTCAGCAGTGCCCTGGCAGCCAGGAGGGCCAACCCTGTCCTGGGGGCATCAGGCCCAGCATCACTGGCTGGGCCAGGGAGGGGATTGTCCTGCTTTGCTCTGCCCTGGGGCGGCCTCACCTGCAACACTGGGGCAGTTTGGGGGGACACAATAGAAAAAAGACGTTAAGCTGTTAGAGAGCATCCAAAGGAGGGCCATGAGGATGGTGAAGGGACTGGAGGAGAAGCCTTATGAGAAGCAGCTGAGGTCACTTGGTTTGTTCAGCCTGGGGGAGACTGAGGGGAGACCTCACTGGGGTCTTCAGCATCCTCTGGAGGGGCAGCAGAGAGTCAGGCACCGATCTCTTCACTCTTGTGACCAGTGACAGGGTTCGAGGAAACAGCTGGAGCTGAGTCAGGGGAGGTTTAGGTTGGATATCACAACCAGGTTTTTCACCCAGAGGGTGGTTGAGCACTGGAACAGGCTCCCCAGGGAAGTGGTCACAGAACCAAGCCTGTCTGTGTTCAAGAAGCGTTTGGACAAGGCTCTCAGGCACATGGTGTGACTCTTGGGGTGTCCTGCGCCGGGCCAGGAGTTGGACTCGATGATCCTGATGGGTCCCTTCCAACTCAGCATATTCCGTGATTTTATGTGACCCGCAGTCAGAAGCACCAGCCCCGACAGCAACGTTCTCCTGCAGTAGGATAAGATCCAAAGACCCATTTTCCACAGCTCAGTTCTTGCAGAAGCTAATTTCTTTCTCCTTCTTCCCGAAATTCCGGTGCAAGATCCTCCGGACGTTCCCATTAGGCCAACAGGGCTGGTGTTCCTTTCCTCAAGTGTACAGGACAACATGTAAACATATGACAGTGTCAAAGCAAGGCAGGTTTTTATTTACCTGCTGGTTTTAAAAACAGTTCTTTAAAAACTGACCGTTGTCTTCCTTGCCAGTTACGTGACCCATTAAATACTCAGCGTGTCCTTACCCACAGCTGGGTTACAGTGCACTCACCCGGGGCGCAGGGGGGACAAAGCATTGCACAAGGACGTGGTGGGGCATTCCCCTACAAGCTACTCAGGAGCCAACCTTGGACAGCACATAACGAAGACAGATGTCTGGATCGAGGAAGAGTGACAAGAACGTAAGGACTGTGAGAAACAGAAGCAGGAGGGGGTAGAACAGAGCTGGCTGGCTGCTAACGGAGCTTCGATCGGGTGGTGTTATCTCTCAGGGGTAGCTGCGGCCTCCACAAGATTCCCTAATCCTGTCAAAAAAAGGTACAACTGCCTTTGAGCATTCCCCTCATATCAGGGCACGAGATTGCAGCATGCAGATTAATTTCAGGCTTATTTCTTCCTCCAGAATTGTACAAGCAGGGTAAGGTTTCATGTTTGGAAGTGTTTCTACCAACTAATCCATCAGCTGGAACAGAACACCCACCCACCCTCACAGTCAACACACAGGAGGTAGAACAGTGAAACCCAGAAAGCAAACGTTCTAGACAAGGTGCTAATTTTTAATATTTAAGGTATTCAGTTTAAAATTTGAACTGCAAACAATATAAAAATGCACAGTGTTTTCAGAAGAACAGATCTGCGTTTTTACAGGGTTTTTTTCTAAGCCAGGGTCTGCAGCAAGGTTTGTTCCCTCCTGCTGCTTGTTCCCTGCCTGGAGTCACACTGGCTGCTGAAATGGGATTTGACAATGTCGTAACAAACAAATTGTGAAAACCTCCAGGGCAAAACAAGCAGTCAGTACAGTTCTCCCCAACGTTTAATGATGCTCTGTACTTGTAATTCAATTGTATTCAGTTAAGAGAGCAGTACAGGAGCACACAGGACTTCAGGCAGTACCCTGCACTGGGAATTCAGGCATAATGCTGGGAATATGGGATTCCTCAGGTAAATTACTGCTGCACACCACCTTTAGCAGGCCACACAGTAAGTCACCACAGCACTTGCATCCATGCCAAACCTGCAGCATCCAACAGCTCAGGAACTAGCCAGCACCCCACTGCAGGCAGGCAGCCAGCCCAGCAACCAAGCCACAAGGAATTTGCTTAAGAATTTTGGCAAGCCTCTGCTACATGAGAAAAATGCTTCATTCAGCAGAGAATGTCTAAGTTCCCCTCTGCAGCATACCCCTAGATTCCCAGTGTCCCACTGTTTTTAACCTGGCAAGTCCAGAGAACTGCCTTCCTCAGCAACTTTACCCTAAGCACATCTATTCTTGGTTCTGCAATATTAATGTTCCCTCCTTCCAGACTGACTGAAACTTGCTTGTCATTTATTTATTAATTTGAAATATAAACACAGACATTTGGGATTTTGGATGAGTTTTGCCTTTAAGAGATAAAACAGTGGATCAAATTGAAATAATCAAGGCAACAATAAGAAAAACCGTACAACTACTTGAAGGTTTTCTGTTTGAACAAGGCAGGGAAACCTGACTCCTGCCTGACCATTCCTCATCTTTAACTGTTCACTATTCATTTGTGCTCTCTGAAGAGCACAGTTAAAACATTCCACCTCTCAGACCACTAAGCAAAAATAAAATCAAATCCTTACCTCTATTAAAACAGACAACTAGGAAAAGAAATAAACTGTTTATTAAATAAACCCCCTAGTTTTAAAAAATATCAAGAATATTAGCTTTCCATTTGGAGCAATTAAAATAACTCGTGGAGGGAAGATATCACCACTGGCCAACTGCTTTATGTCCTGTAAGGAATCCCTTGCTCTCTCCATCCCTCTGTCCTGAGGAATCACCTATCTGAAGTCTGCCAGCTCTGCCTCTGTCTTGTGCTTGTTTAAAAACAACAGATGCCATCGGGTCACCTGGAGGAGCTGCGCTCTTTGCTCACACAGTCGTCCTGGGAGGTTGTGTCCCCGTTCCCCATCATGCTGCACGTCCTCCGCTTTTTCCTCCGGTGCATCATCCCCTCTGTCTCGGAGCCAGAGTCACACTGAAGGGTGGAAAGATGAAACCAGAATTCAGAATTTGTGCTGTGGAATTCACCGTCAGAGCTGCCTCAGCAACCCCGAATAATCCACGTTCAAAGAACGTGCTATTTGAGGTTAGAGACACGTGAAACAAATTTCAAATTAAGCGCTTAAAAATCAGGAATTTTCCTAGATTTCATCACTGACTAAAGCTGACTGGGGCAAGACAATGTGAATGTGTTCCTTTTGGATCCTTGAAGGATCTCATCTTCCAAGAGCAGACTCAGAGGCTCCTGATGGATTTAGGTGCCTAGAAGAGTCCCCTGTCATAACTGATCTGTTTTGGATCCTGTTCCTCCTCCCCATTTTTAGAACATTCACTTTGCAGCCATTTTACAAAGCGTGGCTTAGCTAAATGAGTGACAGATTCATATATAACATAGACACAGATCAAACAAACCAAATCCATTTAGCAATACAGAGAGGCTTCAGCAAACAGAACCTGCTAAGACCACACACTCCTCCACAATGTAGATTTGTTTAGGTGCTTTCCATTAATTTCTTCCATAAGACAGGAAAATTAGGATCAGGACACATGATCAGGTATGGAAAAAACAATATAATTTCAGAATATGGATCACTTATTGCAGTAAAAAGCATTACCTCTGAATCAGAGTCTGAGGAGCTGGAACTTGAGGAACTGGAAGAATCACTCGAACTGTCGGAAGCAATACCAGTAGATTCCTGCAGGTCAACTGAATCAGCCAAGGCTGCCAAGTCAGGATGTTCCTGCTTTAGGATCCTAAACACAGTTGAAATTTCAGGGTTAGCCTTTGAACTGTAACACTGCGTGTAAATGAGTATTTTTAGGTTTTGTTTTAAATAGAGAACGTGGAAAGAAATCCACTAAACCTCTCACCTGTACCACTTCCGTGACAGTTTGGGTCTCCCTCTCACCGTCTTGTGCCACACCACGGGGAAGTTGGTACAGCTGGCAAAGTTTTGTGTGATGGCAATAGTCGTGTCAAGGTTGAGAACAACATGCCACCAGCCACCTAAAACACAACACCAATGACCACTGCTGGCTACATGGCAGAGAGCAAGTTCAAGAACAGCCAAGAACACTTTTCCCATAGTGCAGGTAGAAACTGGACATTATTTTCCCCCACCCAGGCAAGTTTGCCACCACATCATCTTTCCTCAGGCTAATTTCAGCTCTCACTCCAGTGCTTAACAGGTTTTGTTACAGAATGCTGCTCCACACTCTGAACAAATTACCCAGCTCACAAAAAGATCTGACCTGACAGCAACACACTGGCTACTGATGGTTTATTTAACAGCAGGAGCCATTGTAACCCACACAGCACAGAGGCCCTTTCTGTGCAGCTGGAGAGCACTTTCCACGCTGATTTTGTAAGGTTCTTATGACTACAGACTAACCTTTCATTTAAAAATAGATGCAAAATCGTTTCCCCACACAAGATAAAAATAGACAGTGAAGTTGTTACAACCCACTTATAGCCTCATAAAAGACTAAGGGAACAGTTTAATGGAACCCGACAGCTACAAACTCTTAACAGAAGGTACACTGAGGAGTCACTAATAAGTGCCAAGACAATCACAAGGCACTCCTCACACATGAAGTCAGCTGTATGTTACAGACAAGCAATGTGGACAGAAGTTAAGGGCTGTGCTGCACCAAAATGATGCAAGATTCAGAGCTTAGAGTTTGGCACTGAACTCACGTCTTCATCCACCACCACCTCACCCCCCAGCTACAATGGGCACACAGTGGGCAGCCACTCAAAGAGAAGGGCATCTTTAGCAGAGCTTTCTTTAGCTTTTGATTTCAAATGCAAGATGAAACATAACCACAGAGAGGGTGGGTGGAAGGTGTCAGTGCCTTTAAGTAGTTCATTTCCCACAGCTAAGAAAAATTCACATGCAGTCAAACTAACCAGGCTACAAAATTCAGTCATGAATTTGCTACAGTGTATATGAACTCAAACTTGTCTAACAGTTATTAGTACTCAAATACTCCTTATTTTATGCCCAGACAGTTTCCTGTTACTGCAATTTAGTACAGGATCACATTCCTGTGATGCTGCCACTCAAGTCCCACTTGTTTTGTCATCTGTACCACATGCAATCCCATGCCACAGGTCATACACATTTTGGGACATTCCAAAAATAACTGGATAGCCTCAAAACAAGCATTGCACTATGTATCCCTTTTGAAAGAGCTCAGGAGAGTTTATTTGTAAGAGATGGGCTGTATAAAAAAGCTGAAACGCTCTCTTCACCTCTGTAACACATGAATATATTAAAAATACGCTTTTCTCCCCCGGATTTCCCTGCAGGAGAGATTTGTACACACCTGGCACAAAGACTGTCTCGCCTGGTTTCTGTAAGACTTCCAGGGGTTTGAATTCGGGGGGCCAGGTGGGAAGCTGTGTCCGAGGATAGATGACGTTGAACCAAGTGATTGCCTCATCCTGCTGGTTCCCTCCCTCTTCTCGAGTCACTTTGATCAGCTCTCTGGGAGTGCTGGTTGGGAACAGGCACCAACGCTTATGTCCCTGCACTAAGGCATTCCACGCACTAGTTCCCAAGGGATCGATGTGAATTCCCGTTCCAGATCGAGGTGGGCCCATCACAAACCATCTGCATGGGAATAAAAAAAAAAGTCCTTTAGTCACAGAGCAAGCAGGTAGCTCCCTTCCTTCACATTGGACAGTTAGAAATCAAAACAGTTACAATTCTTTCCTTTACATTCCTGATTTTGTTAGATTCACGCTACAGCAAGAAGATACAACGGGAGTTTAACTTAAAAACCAACATGAATGACTGCAGGATAAGAAAGTGAAGATAACTTTTTATATTTCATAGCTGCATTTTGGTTTAAACATTTCTTCAGTACCACATATAGTGATTTCAAGGTTAAATGAATGCTGTTAGGTCACAACAGCCTGTGTTAGGATCTAGGCAGGGGGATTCTCCTACAGTTTTCTAAAATTTGCTGCTCAAGCAGATCCAGAACTGCAGAACAATGAGGAACAAACAAAAGGCAACACAAGGAACAGAACAAGTTACGCAACCCTGGCCTCTTTCTGTGCCTTCTGGTCACAACAGGCTTTTCATTCCAACATTTGACTACGTGGAGTTTGTTCCTCAGTGATCATTCAGGATTTGTGGTGTATATTCCCATTTCCCACTTTTAAGGTTTACTTCTACAAAAGAGGACTTTATTCTATCTGTTCAACTGCAGCAGCACCTTCAGCTGCTCATTTCCCCTTAACGGAGCAGTAAGATCTGCTCTAGAAAAAACAGTGTGAGGTGACTTAACACCAGGCATCGAGAGGGAAAAATGGCAATAAATGCTTGATTGGTAGCAGAGAGTAGAGAAATTAGAGCAACAGCAAGATCCCTCCATGGTGTGGCTGACAGGCAGGTGATGCCCAGCAACAAGAGTGCAGAGGTTCAGAAAATACTGGAATTCAGCAAGTTCTCCATGTCCCCTTTCCAGTGCAGGTGTAAATCAAGCTGGTTGTCGAGTATCATTTGCCAGCACCAATTGTAGGACTGTAAGTTTGATTATCAAGCTGCTTTCTTCCTTCTTCACAAAGGAGCTGTAAATAAGCAGGTGTTCATAATTTCTATTGTCAGTTCACTCTTCAGATTCATATTAGCCTTGGAAAGCTGGTTAAACCACAAGTAGAACAGTCAAGGTTTTCACTAAGAAGACAGAAAACATTAAACTCATGGAGATCTGACTGGCACAGACAGATGCACTGCTCAATACCATTTTTCTGACAATAACCTGAATCTACACATGCAGGTTTTAAAACCCTTATTTAGCAACAGTGTCATTTACCAGCATCTTCCTCCAGGCAATTAACTTACAATGAACAAAACCCAATTTGCCACAAGACATCAAATTTACAGTTAAAAACTTCTTGTCTCCTAAATTCAATCTGAAAGCAAACCCCAACCCTTCTCCCCAAACTAAAAGAGCTGCTTTAGCCAATGGCTTCCAAAAATTACTGTCTTTATCTTAGAGAGGAACAACATCAATAAAAATGCTCTGAACAGCACCAATTCTTACTTTAAGGTCTACACACTAACACACCTCTCAATTCAGAGCCCAACCTGTACAGGTCATATCCTCATCATATGATTTGTACCATTTCCTGTCAGATTTTCAATTATGCTCTGAAAGTCCTGGACACTCTTCATCCATTTCTGTACCCAGATGAACCCTCTAATTTTAGGAGGCATCAGTGTGCTCTTGTGCACCACTAATCTCTCAAAAAAAACACTAACAGCCTGAAACAAACCCACATTTTCCTGAACAAAGTACAAGAAATGTGGATACCAAGATCACAAAGAGGCTCAGCATGTGCATGTAGGTGGGGAGGGTGTGGGGGAGAGAGACACCAATATAAATGAATCACAACCAGATTAGATTGTTTACCTGTAACTTGGATAAATGATTCCCAGTTCTGTGTGTTCAGTTTCTACTACAGGCTGCTGTGCTTTTGTGTTCAATCACAGTAGTACGTTCTTAGAAGAGCTTTATAAAAAGCATCTGCTACAACACTGTAAAAACACCCATTTCAGTGATCTTGAATGGAATTAAGCTCCTGCTTCACTCCTGCAAAATCACAAGTGGACTACAGACAAGTGAGAGAGTGCAGAGGGAAGTAGATGATTCATGACTTGTTCTGTTTTATTTAAATAAACCACATCAGAGCCTTGTGTCACTCAGAGGGCAAAAGGCATTGTCTGACAATCATAATGTTGCTGTAAAGACTTTAATTACTTGGGAGGGTTCAGCTCATGCTCATACTGCTATGAAGTGTTGCATCAACATAGAGAGAAATGGCTTTTATATCTAACAGTGAAAATACAAGGTTGTTGCATTTGAATTCATGAGAGTTGTTTCAATCCTTTTCCAATCTGAAGAAAAAATAGAGTTGAAAAGACTACATGGATGTAAAATATTGTTCTCTCTCAAAATCATCTGAAGGAAAGGCTAAGAACTAGTCCTACACTAGATCCTAATCTAGTTTAAGATCTTTACCTTAAAAGGACTGACTCATAATTAAACAGAATTCCACACTGTACATAAGCCACTGGTGCAAAACCCAGGAGCCAGTCCTGAGGTACTTAAAATTTGAGAGCCAGAAGGCACACAGAGCAAGAAATCAATCTTCATATCTTTCAGTAACTATGTAAATTTTAAAAAAATCTAAGAAGTGATGTAAACAAAAAGGAAAAAACACCATAAACTTGTAGCAGCTCTGGTGGGAGAACAAGAATTTGTTACACACAAATCTTCTCTTCCTCTGAATTCCAGATGTACACTCTTATTTTAAGAGACAAATTAAAGCTGTAGGTTTTTGGTTTTTTTAATGTGAGACAATCACAGCTATTCAGGAATAGCCATGGAGGTGAGAAATACCCCTTTTTGTCTTGCTGTCCCTGCACTGTACCTGTAGGGTGGCCGCCGTTTCTCCCCTGCATACTGAAAGAGATCATCCGTGAAGAATTTGGGTACTTTGTAGTCCTCCAGGAGTTTCCTGCGCTTGGGGTGCTCCCCATAACTGCTGTCAAAGATGTACAGGGGGCTGTCATCACGTGTGGTTTCCATGTACTCTATGTAGTACTTCATCTTCATCTTCACAGAGTAACCGTCATTGTCCTCCCCACACTTGAACTTCTGGTTCCTGTATTTGCGTTTCAGCCGCTCCAGCGTCCACTTCTCCTGGGCAGACCAGCCCACCTGGGCGTTCAGCAACACCACGGGCTTGTAAGGCTTTTCATAGCGCTCAACAAACTCCTCCACCGTCAGCTGGAGCGCATCTGCCCTCTCCACGTTATCCTGTGAGACCGGGGAGGGAAGCAGAACAGATATCAGGGCAGGCTGACGTTCTAGGACCGCGCTTCCCAGTGGGGGAGCTTCACACACCGCGAGGGGACGGAGCTGCCTACGTGTTATTTTAAGCTCCCCGAGGCTGCAGCCCTGTTCCTCCTGGCCCGCTCCCCGCACACACCAGTGACACGGGCAGCCTGAAGCCTTTGGCGCTGCTCCCCATCGAGGCCACGCTGCCCTTTCGGCTGACACATCCACTGCCGCATTCCACCCCCTGAGGACACAAGGGAGGACTCCAGGGAATTACATGGGTGCCCATCCCACCCCGGCGGGCCCGCACCCCTCGCCACGTGGAGGGAGGAAAAAACGTGGGTGCTGCTTGTCCTCCCCCTCCCGAACCTCTCCCTCACAGCGGAGAGCCCCGCCAGCTCTGGGGCAACCCCGGCCTCGGGAAAGGGCCCCTTCCCTTCAGACTCCCCCTTCAGGCAACTCCAATCCCTTCATCCCCCCTTCCGCACCCTTCCCCTCTGACCCTCGTTCTTCTCGGGCCACCCAGTGCCCCCTCAAGAGGGTCATTTCCCCTTCCCGTTCCCTTAGGACCTCCTTATTCCTCTCAGGACTCCCTCAAATTCCCTCGCTCGTGTCCCCCCCCCAAGTCTCTTTAGGCGCCTTCCGTTCCCTTCAGGACTCCTCCAGTCGTACCCCCCTCCCTGTTCTCCCCCACCCCATTCCCACCGCTCTCTCTCCCCTCAGACCTTGCAGGCGGCGGGGCTCAGGGGGAAGGTCTCGCAGTAGTTGTGGCGGGTCCAGTCCAGCGAGTCCTTCAGCTCCGGGCGGGCGCTGCGCTTCGCCTCGCGGATCCGCTTCTTGCTCTTGTGGTTCATGACGGCGGCGGCGGCGGTGCTGGGGGCCGTCACCGCCCGCCGTCACCTTCCCCGGATCCCGATCCCGGTGCCAGCCCCGTTCCGGCCGCACCTTCCAGAAATTTCACCCGGTGCCGCCGCTGTGACCGCGGCCCCGCCCCCGCCGCGCTCCCATTGGCTGGTTGTGCCGCGGTTTCCGCTACTCCCCGGCGTTGATTGGCCGGGGCCGGGGAAGCGGCGCCCCCGCGCCGCCATGTTGAGGGAGGGCAGCGCGGAGGGAGCGCGGGCGCCCTTGGCGGCCCCAGGGATCCCCCGCCACCACCGCTCTCCGTCCCGCGGCGGGCCCGCGCTCCGCGCTTGCTGCTCTGCTGACAGCGGCGAGCCGGCTGCGATCACTCGGCTTCCTCCGCTCTTCCGGCTCCAGCCCGCGGAGGCGCCCGCAGCGCCCCGGCGGGGCGGCGGCGCGAGCAGGCGCGACCCAGTGTGCCAGCGGTGCCTGGGGCAGGCGCCGCCATCGGCGCCCGCAGCGGCGCTCCGCGTGACGTCACGGCGAAGGGAGGCGCCGATTGGCCTGCGCGGCCCGGCGCCCTCACGTGTCCGCCCGCCATTGGTTCCATGGCGGAGCCGCGGCGGCGCGCGCGGCGGTACCGCTTCGAGGAGGGTCCGGCGGCGCTGGCCGTGCGTGTGCCCGAGGTACCGGGGACAGCCGGGGCACGCCGGGAATGCCGGGGATCCCCGGGAGTAGCGGGGATCCCCGGGAACACCGGCCCAGCGCCCCGCCCCGTGTGTTGCAGGTGCTGGATTCTCAGTACGGGCTGTACGCGTGGCCCAGCGCCGTGGTCCTGGCGCAGTACGTGTGGGCGCAGCGGCGGAGCCTGCCCGGCAGGCGAGTGCTGGAGGTACGGCCCTGCCCGCACCCCTGACACCTCGCGGGTGCCCGCGGGCCCGACCCCACGGACGCGCTGTGGTTGCAGATCGGAGCCGGTGTGAGCCTGCCGGGCGTGGTGGCCGCCCGGTGCGGCGCGCAGGTGACCCTGTCGGACAGCGAGGAGCTGCCCCGCTGCCTGCAGAGCTGCCGCCGCAGCTGCCTCAGCAACCGCCTGCCACACGTGCCCGTCATCGGGCTCACCTGGGGCCGCGTCTCGCCAGAGCTGCTCTCTCTTGCTCCTGTAGACGTTATTTTAGGCTCAGATGTCTTTTTTGACCCCAAAGGTATGTTAATGCTCTCTCAGGTATCTTTGGTTTGTGACAAGCAGCGAGGAGGTGGTGGCCAAGTAATGCTGGGAACACTGTGGAGGGATCAGGTGACACTGTGCTACTGACCTTGTTATTCTAGTTCTGAACTGTCAGAAATACAACCAAGGGGGAATAGAAAATGGAGTAATAACTAAGTGCTTCAGACCCTGTATCTCAGTTCTCCCATACAGATGTAATCTGCTTGTTTAAATTTTTAATTCCCATTCAGAGAACCAGACAGATTTCTCTATACCTGGAATCCAGAGACTAACCCAGACTGCTTTATCTCCCCAAACTGCACAGACTTTGAAGATATTTTAACTACAATTTACTTCTTGCTGGAGAAGAATCCACATGCTCAGTTCTGGACTACTTATCAAGTCCGAAGGTAAAACCTTTTCCATATTTAGGACTCAAACCTTAATTCCTGTCTCAGCTTTTGACGAGTGTTAACTTCTCAGAGGCACCACTGCTCTGACTCAGAAAAGCTCCTTACTGTGCGTGAGGCTGCTATTAGCCCAGTAAATCCTGGGGGTAGCAGGCAAAAGCAGCCAAACCTGAAAGTAATCCAAGAATCCTCAGATTGCTGTTGCCTAAAAAACTCTTCCAAACCCATCTGTGCTGTACTGAAGTTTGGGGACAGCCTGTTAGTTACTGCAGCAGTAGTAACCTTGGGTTACATTTTCACGTGCTGTATATCCTCCCCTCAGTGCTGACTGGTCTATCGAGGCTCTGCTCTGCAAGTGGAACCTGAGGAGCATCCACGTCCCCCTACACTCCTTTGGTGCAGACAAGGAGCACTTGGCCAGCTCGTCTCTCCCAGGAAGGCACACGATCGAAATGATGATCATCTCACTGGCACAGTCAGAGGGCACTTCAGTTTATTCCACTTCAGGTTCCAGTACAAGGTGATACTCAGCTGTTCTGATCTGCAGAAAACAAGTCCCGTTTACAGCAAACCTTGTGTATATTTCTGGGAAGCAGTTAATTCTTAAAATATGCATTGTTTTAATAAAATAAAGCTGTTTGGTTTTTTCCAGCTATGGCTTATGAGAAATTTGTGCTCCTCCCCAAAGCCCATGAAATAGTTCAGAGACTCAATTCCATTGTGTGAAGCCACTACACAACACAGCTTAACCTGGAAATCCATGAGATCCAACCTAAATCCACAACTTCAGCAATGGAAAGGTAACTGCACTCTTTCAAATTAAAAACCAGCCCCATAAGAGCAGTTTCCCAGGACTGGGAATCCTGGGATCCACACACAAAAGCCAGCCCCTTTGTTTGTAAATGAGTATGTGCAGACTGTGCTAACCTGGAACATACAAACTCCCCAGTTTGTAGAAAAGTACTTTTAATCCTCCACAAAAGCCATACTGCCAGCGTTCAGATGTTTCCATTCCCATTTAACATACATGCATAAAATTAACAAGGCATTACAATAACCCTTGACACAGGATGGTTGAAGTTAACAATTCATTTGGTACCAAATCAAGAAAAATCATCACTGTAAGATCAGCCCCCATCAAGCAGCAGCCTGGGCAAGCACACAGCAATGCAGTTAGTACTGCTCAGTGTGGACCTTCCACAACACCCCAGGACCTGGCTGGGTCAGTGTTCACAGCCTGGTGTGCAACACTTGCCACACAACATTGGGTTAGTCACAATACTAATTGAGTTTGCCCACAGTAATTTAAAAGCAACCCCGGTGGATAAAATTTATAAGCAGTAGAATGCAATTCAGTTACTATATAGAAGTTAAACATAGACAGTATAATTGCAGAAATCTTTTCAAGATAAAAATAAGCTGACCCAAGACATTAAGTTGAGAAAAGTTAACACAGAAAAATGTTTAATATTAACTACAGAGACAGTGGGTATAGTACAGAATGTCTTAAGCAAAAGATACACCAATCAGTACTTACAAAGGAATGAACCATTTCTGTTCTTAACATTACATTTCTCATATGTAAGTTCATATATGTAGGTTGGTAAGTTTTACCATTCTGGAAATAATAAGGTGTGTATATCATCAGCTAGATGTGCTCACTGTATGCTCCATATTTTTTACGCAAGGCCCGGGTGACTGGGAGTGCAGTTGTCAGGCATTTTAATTAACTGGACAGCCATTTGTTTCTGCACGACAAGGCATCGTTACACAGGAGCAATCAGGAGACAACAGGAAACAGCCAAGCACTCTGCACTGCAACACGCCACCTTAACAGCTAACCAGCATTACTCAACTGCTACACAACTGCGCCTAGTGCACAAAAATACATAAGAGAAGAGATTAGAATTGAGTCTGATAAAACAATCCTTTCATATATCAACTGTCACCTGAAAAGATTTCTATCAATTTTGAATTTGAAGATACTATTTTAATGCAAAGTTGGTTTATCTTTAAAAAAAAAAAAAAGCATTTACAGTTAAGTTTCAAATTGAAGTTCTGTAGAATTTTATTTAAGGAATGAAAACAAAATTGAGAATACTTTCTGACAGTTAGCTACTCGGCATATAATGGCTGCATGATTCCTCAGTATGAAACTGGAGGCAGCAAGTTACCATCAGTTTTAATTTCCAATAGAAGTCAGCACTATATAAACAAAAATGAAGTTTTACCTCAAATATCCAAGCCAATAATGAAATCGGTAGTCGTTCACTTCACTAAATTACAAGAAATTTGAATAACAGCAACAAAATGGCACATAAAAATGTAAAATCTGCCACTTGAGGCGCAACTTAAACAAGTAAAAAGTTAGACAAAATGTTACAAAATAACCTTTTCAACAGCTGATTGCTCGTCCAGGGTCTCTCCAATGGGCTGAAGACTCAAGCGATCTTTTCCCCCCAAAGGCGTCCTTTATGTGGGTTCTCATTTAGCTGAAGCATCTAGGTTTGAAGAAAAAAAAGTTCAGCCAGGTTTCTACCTTGTCTGTTTTGGGTGTGGATGACTTCAGGGATACTTCTAGTTGTGTTTCAACTGGCTTTGCCTAAGTTAATTTTAAGTTTTAGGAATTTCCACGGTGTTCCACCTCCCCCCCCTTGTGTCGCTTTACTTCAGAGGCCAAATGTAAGGTTCTGTCAGAGTATTTAGTTACAAAGGAGAACAAGCACCAGGCTGTAGATCAAGCCACCATTAACTTCAATTCAGCCTGTTCAACAATCGATTATTAAAAGCTATATAAAAGTTAACAAAGCTAATACTTCTTCATAAAGACTTAACTAAACTCTTAAGTAGCATTCAAAACAGAAAACGTGACTAGTTTTGCTACAATTATCTAACTCCAGAGCTAGCTTAGGCCCTTTCCTTTTAAAAAACAGGACCAAACAGTTTGAAGGGTTAAAGACACACTATCCTTTCCCCACCCGGTGTATCCTTAGATGCCTCTTCCAAGATGTCGACTTGAGGAAAAACTAGTTTCCGTGGTTTTCTCGTTGCCAAGGAATTTGCCCCTTTTCTAGGACACTTATTACCTCCAGTCAGTACAACGGCCACTGAACCCATCTTCCGTTCTAAAAGGATAGTGTATCTTTAACAGTGTAAGACAAACCTGCTCCAACACACGCCCACAGAAACTGGTCCCTGGAGGATCAGCCAAATCAGTTAAAATCTGCAATACTGGCCAATATTCTTTTAGCAAACAGGAGACCGCAGCTTTAAAGGGGAAAATGCAGATGTTGGATAAATACAGTAAGAAATAGTCATTTGCATCATAGGTTGCGTCTCATACAATATTTTAATAAAACCAAGGCATTAATCTCGCAATAAAACATTTTCTCTGTAGAAAAAAAAAAATATTTCCGTAGAAAACCCTTCAGTAATAACTTCCCTAAACCAATAACCAAAAAGCACTGCTCAGGAAAAAAAAAACCAAAACCAACAACTAACAGTGTGCCCCGTTAGGATTCACTTGGTTCAGGCTATTAATGCTCTAAGAACTACCCAACACCCCACCTAAGTGCTCTAATAAAGTAACATGCAACATGTGCTGATCCCGAGGTACATTACCATGTTCCTAGGAGGATACAGCTCCTTCTTCTTCCGGAGACTTGGGAGGGCTCTTAGATCTGGATCTAGAGTTGGATTCCCTCTTTGAAGCAGGGGGAGGGCTTCTAGATCTGGACCGGGATCTTGACCTGGACCGGGATCTGGAGACAGACGAGGACTTTGACTTGGATCTCCTGGCAGACCTGGACTTGGAGGTGGAGCGAGACCGAGAGCGTGTACGAGACCGGGATTTGGATCGGCTGTAGCGGGACCGACTGCGGGATCTAGAGCGGCTCCTGCTTCTAGATCGGCTGCGACGGCGTCTTCTAGGGCTAAAACATACCAGGAAGGGGAAGGAAAAGAAAAAAAAAGACGCGTTAAAAGTTGCTCACGGGCGGCGCAGAATCCAGTGAGTGCCGCGGGACAGGGAGGGAGGGACAGGACGCACGTGGGCAAGAAAACGAGCATTACCAGGGCGCCATTGTTCAGAGCGAGTGGCCGGGGGCTAAATTTACTACAGGGCAAAAACCTTCCACTCCGAGGGGACCATATGTGCCTTCGCTACTAAGGCCCTACTCCCCCCGCCCAACCCCGCGGCGAAACTCACTGGGAAAAGGCTACAGAATCACAGAACCGGTCAGGTTGGCAGGGACCGCAGAGGGTAATCTGATCTACACTCCCTGCTTAAGCAGGGTCATCCCGGAGCACATGATCACGTCGTGTACCCAGCTGCCCGAGTATCCCCAATGGGGGAGACTCCACCACCTCTCTAGGCAACCAAGACACAACCACGCGGCCCCGGCTACGCCCGCCAGGACCTAAGCCTCGTCCCCGCGTCTACTGCCGTAAGTTCGCTGCTCACCTGCGGCTGCGGCGGCCGTACCCGCTGCTGCTGTACCGGCGGGGCGGCGGCCCGCGGCGGCTGTGGTGCGAGTCGGGCGGGCGGCCGTACCGGGCCATCTGCACGCGGAGCTCCCGCCCGTCCAGCACCGCCCCGTCCATCGCGTCCATCGCGTCCTCCGCGTCCCGCTTGTCGTGGAAGCGCACGAAGGCGAAGCCGCGGCTCTCCTTGGTGTAGCGGTCCCGCGGGATGTAGACGTCGCCCACCCGGCCGTACTTCTCGAAGACCCTCCGCAGGGTGTCCGGGGAGGTGCGGTAGGTCAGGTTGTCCACTTTGAGGGACGTCATGCCCTCTACGTCGGGCGGCGGGCGGCCGTAACTCATGGTGAGCTGGAGCCCCTGAGGGGCTGGGGCGGCCGACGAGAATAAACCTGAGGGCGATGTGGGGGGTCAGCAGCCGGCGCGGCCCTGAGGGCGACGCGCCTCACGCCGCGGGGCGAGCGCCGAGGCGGCGGCGCGGCAGAGCCCAGAAACGAGGAGAACTGCAGCGCATAGGGAAAAGCCCGCGGGGCCCGCAGGGAGCAGCACCAACCTCAGGGTCCGAGGGGCGGCCCGAGGCCGGAGCGAAGCGCCAGGAGCGGCCGCCCCGTCCCGTCCGCCGCGGCGAGGAAATGAGGGGGAACCGCCCGCGCGCGCGGCTTAACGCCACAAAATGGCCGGCGGGACCCCGGAAGGGAAACGCGGAGCCCCGCCAGCGGCACCGCCGCCCCGACCCCAGACACCTTTTTACCCCTTTTCCCCGAGGTGGTCCCGAGGGGAGCGCGGGGAATCCGCCCCTAAATTAATAATTCGCCCCTGCGTTGGAAAGCGGCCCTGAAAACGGCGCCGCTGTGACCCGGAAGAGCTCGGGGGAGGCGGGGAATTTTTTTTTTTTTTGAACAATGTGTGTTGAAAACCGTAAGAAAAACAATAATAAAAAGAAAAGGAAATAAGAGCAGGGGTGTGCGCGTGTGGTGAGGGGGCAGAGGGGTGGGAAACCGCCGCAGCGGGGAAAAAAAAAAAAGCGATGGTGAAGGGAGTCGGTTGTGGCGCGGGCGGGAGGGGACGGTTTAAAATGGCGGACGGGGAGAGTTGTGAGGGCAGAGTCATGAGGGACGGCGGCGGGCCGGGGATCGGCTTCACGAGAGGAGTCGGTTCAGGGCGGTTGTCCGGCGCTCTGTGAGGTCGGTTCTCCCGGGACAGCTGCTATGGGAGCTCCGTACCCTGCCTGCTCCCGCTCCGCTGTGCCCCGCTGGCCACCGTGAGGGACCAAGCGGCCCGGTGCGGGCTCTCCGCGGGCTCTTCTTCACCTCCTGCCAGCAGCGGTGCCCGGTGAAGCCTCCTCGGTCCCTCCAGCTCTGGATGTGCCTCGATGGATACGCAGCTTATCGGTGCCTGTGGGAGCCGAGCGAGGAAACATTAAAATCCTCAGTACCCCAGCCTGCTCTGCAAACTCGTGCTGTGGCAGCATGTCCTGGAAGTGGAGCAAAGGAGAACTCTTGCACACCCCTTGTGTAAGGATGACAAGCAGGTTCCCAGAGTTTTGCCCAGGGAATTCTGTGAAAGCTGTTCCCCTGCCTCAAAAGTTGTTGCTATGTCGCTTCAAGCACCGAATAAAATGCCCAAACCCCATGTATGAACTGCAATACCTAGTTCTCATTGCACAACAGCGTTAAAAGTTTCTAGCCATCTATTTCATGATACTATGTTAAAAAAAAGTAAAGAATTAAGACTGTTTCCTTATGATTTGTTCAGTCACAGTATTGATATGAGAAAGCAATTTCAGTATTAGAATTTAAAGTCTTAGTATTACTGTAACTGTGTTTAATCTTATTTTGCACTGAAGAAGTGTAAGCAGTGACATCAATACAAAACAGAAACAGCTGTTTGTTTCCTGCTAAATGACTTAAGAAATCAAATAAACTAGTTTTAGTTTCACATTTTGTATTGCTTCGTGCTTGTTCCTTTTTTTTTTTTTCCCCAGAGACTTCGGCTTAAAAAACTTGTGATTCATTTGCTGAAACCCTTTTTCAAATTAGAAATTTGAAGTTTACCTTTACAGTAATTGCCTTATAATGACAGTGGAAGTTTCCTGTGTCCCTTTCTCTCAGTTCTTGTACTGCCTGGGCACTGCTGAGCCGTGGACAGCTTGTTGTCCACCAGGACCCCCCACTCCATCTCCACAGAGCTGCTTTTCCAGCCGGTCAGCCCCGGCCTGTGCTGCAGTCTGGGGTTATCCCTTCCCAGGTGCAGGACCCTGCACTTGCCTTTGCTGACCTTCAGACAGTTCCTCTCTGCCCACCCAACCCACCTGTCGAGGTGTCCCCTTTCAAATTTTCAAGTTTAAAGCTCTCCCAATGAGCCCTGATAACTCCTGGGCTAAGATCCCTTTTCCCCTTTGAGGCCTCTTTGTTTAAACTTTTTACTGCAGACAGCAGAGGTAAAATGTGGTGATTTGTCATTTATTTCAATCAATTCTGCATTTCCCTCCCCTGTCTTTTTGGCCAGCACTAAAGTGTAGCTGATTTAGCTGAATGCTCTAATCCTGACCTGGAGGCCCCACAGAATGGACAGAAGATGTTAAGAGGAGAAAGCAGCCATTCGGTTGGTCTGATCCTCTGCCAGTTTAGCTGATGTGCTAACAGAGATTGTCACAACCTAAAGATCAATTGATCTTAAATTTATTGTTTAGAAATACTGTGAAGTAAAAGATTAAAGGTATCGCTTCCATCCCTGCAATTGTCCAAGGCCAGGTTGGATGGGGCTTGGAACAACCTGGTCTAGTGGAAGGTGTCCCTGCCCCATGGCAGGGGGATGGAACAAGATGGGCTTTAAGGTCCCTTCCAACCCAAACCAGTCTGTGATTCCGTGATTCTGTAACTCTGTGTAATTGCTAAACCCAAAAGCTTTTTTCCTTGAGACAAAGCAGGGAAAGATTATGAAGACTCTCTCCTCTCCTGAGTCACTGAGACAAGGAAAAGCAGAAGCAACAGCACCGAGAGTGTGTGTTGGTGGCACTGAAGTCCGGAGTTTCTCCAAGGTGGGATTCATTTGCCCTTTGGAAATGACTTTGTGTGTTTGAGTTCAGCTAAATAAAGTTTTCTTCGACAACTTTCTAAGCCCTTTTTTTTTTTCTTTTTAATCTTGCCAGATCTTATTTAGTGGATAGAGATCACAATTCTTAAAAACGTAGTACAAATCTTTTTATTTTAAGGAATGGGAGATTTTCACCATTTTAAGTAGGGGGAAAAAAAAAAGTGCTTTCATAAAACTGCATTTCCCATAGTGCACAAGGGCTCTCAGGGCCGGGTCAGCTGATCGAGAGGGTGAAATGTGCCTTATTTCCTGTCCAGTGCATGGAAATGACTCGTGTGTGCCAATGGCTCATCTTTCCTTCGTCAGGTGATTGAAGGGCCGTGGACCAGATTCTGATTTCAACAATGGCAAGAAGCTGAGCTGATTAACCTGCTCGATATTGGGAAAACTGCTTCGTGTGTGGGAAGATGATGTCATGAAATAACACGCTGCAGGCAGCTCTGTTAACTTAATGGGAACAGGTAGAGGGAATCTTGGTCTTTACGTTTTGTCCTAGACCTTTCCGGTTTTTTTTCCAAGTTACCAGTTTTGCCGTACACTATTTAATTTACTAGATTTCTTAATTAATTGAAGGTTATTTTCTAGCAGCTCAGAAGTAGTCCTAAGTAATCATAATTTTCAAACCTTTTTTTTTAATTCTTTTTTGCCTTCTTTTTTTTTTTTTTTTTAACAGAGGTTAAGAGGAAACTTTTAAAAGAAAAAAAAGTTTTTCCAGACTGAAGCTGAGGACTTGGTGAGAAAACACAAAATGTCTTCTGAAGGAAAAAAACTTTTCAACATCATTATTTTGGGAGTCTCGTTTATGTTTATATTCACTGCTTTCCAGACATGTGGAAATATTGCGGTAGGTGTGAATTTCTAAATGTGCTATGTTTCTCTTACAGTTATTTATCCTGTCTTGTCCTTTGTCTACTGTAATCTTGTTTTACTTATGATTTTCTAATGCGCGAGATAGTTTGGCATTCTGTCTTCCTTTGGTTTAGTTTTAAGTAGATTAACTTGATTAACCAAATAATAATGCAGCTTTTTTCTTTAAGATAGCATAGCTACACATATAACTGTGCCAAAGTGCTTGGAAAACAGAAAATTAATCTTATCAAATGTCCGAACTTTAAAATAGTGTCTACTTTGACACTTGCAATATTGAACAGCTGAATTACATTGAATCTTCCATAGTCTATATTCCATATTCTGTACAGTCCCTTTCAAGATATTTGCTGAAGTTATTATTACTCACACAATTATCAACTGTTTTTTCCTAATCTAACATATTTTTCCGTTCTGACAAATTTGATATTGAGGGGGAGTATGGGGATAACACCTGACAAATAGTCAGACTTGCACAATTGCTAAGCTGCTAAGTCACCTTCCAGCTGAAGAAGTTATTTACTGCTTTAGTATCGTGTATCTTTGTCTGCAGAAGCAAAACTGAGCATAACATAATCCAAACTTACTGTTACTACTTAAATTTTTAGACTCCTGCTACTAAGAGACATAGCCCTTTAACTTCCTGAGTGTTGACATTGCTTTCAGTTCTGTGCCTGAGGGCAGTTAGATTTCAACATCCTTCTTGAGCCTCCAGGTCTTACAGCTCTTTTCTTGCATGGAAGAAGAATCCATTCTGGGTTCAGACACATAAATGTCCTTCACTACAATATAAATAACTGCTTGGGATAGTTTTCTAAGTCATAGTGCAGTGTGATACTGTGTGTGAGCACATAAGTACAGCCCAGTGATCTTAGAAGTTCTGTGATGAATTCAGCACATCACTGAATTGGACTTTGTGATCATGCAATCATGTAGTTTATTGTCATAAAAGTCTTTAGAAGTTACTTTCAACCAGATCTGCCTGCCAGTCTGGCTAATTACATGGTCTCATGATCACTAGAGCTGATTCAAGGGGAAAAAAAAAGGAACAGAGAAATAACGTGAAGCCAGAAAGAATGGAAACTCTGACTAGAAATTCATAGTTAGGTCAAGTTAAGAGTATTTTGAAACTTCTCCTTTTCCTCTCCGCTTATTAAATTAAGATAGTCATACATATCTACCTAAGAGAGGTCTTTAGTGAAACAACAGTTTTGTGAAGTATTTTTAGGTCTCTGGTGAAATGACAATTTAATAGTAAAGTACTAATTACTGCTTCACACATAGATGTTTCCCTGCCAAATATCTCCTGCATCTTTGTTGTGGAGGTGGTGTGAGTTGTAGCTAACATTTTAAATTCTTTTAAGTACTTTGTAGAGTCTATTAATGATTAAGTCTGATGTTTGTTACTGACTTCAAACTGATGCAAGTGTTCTCAAACTACAAGACAGATTCTGACATATTACAGTGTATGGTTTTCTCCTCACAGCAAACTGTTATCACAAATTTAAACAACACGGACTTCCATGGCAGTGGCTACACAAGGTAATTTACACAGATTATAAATTATTACTTATTACTTTGTTCCTTGCAGGGTGAAGTTGGTTACAGTTTCATCCAGTAGAGATACACTCTCAAGAGATTGGAGTGTTCTGCTGACTTCACAATTTATTGACATACTTAAAGGTCTTTAAATAAAACAGGCTTCTCACAGCCCCTCTCTGAATTATTTCTAGCTGAACTACATATCTGGTTTGCATGTTTTCTTTGTTGAGAGAAAAAACACCATCATCTCATTCTCGGCATTTTGTCTTAGGAGACGAAGAAGCTGGAAGTTTAAAAATAAAAAACCCTGCTAACTCAGGCCTTGGTTGTTTGCCCTTGTACACCTCTGTGTGTTTGTGTAGAACAGGTGGTGTGGATCAGCTCCCAGGAAACACTGCAATGTAAATGTGAAAGGAGCAGTCAGAGAGACAGAAGCAAAGCCACAAAAAGCCATTCTCTTTGTTGCACTGGCACAGCCAAACTTGCCAAGCATGATCAGGAGCCTCTTGTATGCCAAATTAATTCTGTCATGTAGAAAAACCTGATTGCTGCTTTGAAGGGTTTGCTGTTTTAGTTTAAACTGAAAATACAACTGGCACAAAATATATCCATAGAATTTCTGTGGTGTATTTGGCAGAAAATGAAAACCTCACTCCTGGACAAATGAGGCTCTGGAACATTCTCCTCTAGAAGTACAGGGTAGAAAATACAGTAACTGTTGTTAAGGCAGTTTGACAAATGCATGTTTTAAATTACCAGACATGCTTGCCTGCAATAGTTTGGGACTCTACTCAGCAATCCAGGAAACACTGTGCACTCCTGTATTCCCACATGGAGTATGGTGGGTGAAGGCAACAGAAGAAAGGGAGGAAATGTTTGAACATGGAAGTTTTATGGAGTTACTTGAGTTGTGTATGTGCTTAACTGGATATTTTGAAATCCACTGATCACTCTTAAATCAGTTGCAGTGATACCCTATATTTGAAGTACTTAATCATCTTTGTTGTTTATTTATGCAGCATGTCCATTATTTATGGAGTATTATCTGCATCAAATCTTATATCACCTTCAGTGGTTGCAATAGTAGGACCTCAGTTCTGCATGGTTGTTAGTGGCATATTTTATAGGTAAGTCTTAATTTTGAATTTTTAGCTGCTTCCTTTGAAATATTTGATTTTTGTCTCACACCTAGTGCTACTGTGCCATACATGAAATTGTACTGGCTAAGAAAAGCATCTCACAGAGATACTGTAGATCTGTAACTGCAGAGTACTTCAGCCTATTGCAAACAGCACATTTTCTTCCACAGCACTTCCAGACTTTGCAGACTGTGGAGTTCAGGTTGTGGTCTCAGATTAATGACTACATAAAAAAACCTCCATGTGCTTAGTAGGGTAAGATTTTTCACATACAACCTAACCTGTTTTCCAACATCTCTTAGGAGAGAATAGTTGATTCAGAAGCAGATCAGTGTCTGATTGTTAAAGTGCACTGTCCACTTTAAGTCTGTATTCAATAAACTGATTTGTTCTATTCTAGCCTATACATTGCAGTCTTTATCCAACCTACTACATGGGCTTTCTACACTGCTTCTGTTTTTATTGGCATTGCAGCTGCTGGTAAGCACTGTTCTTATTCTGCTGACTATTTTTTATGATATCTGAATATACCTCTAAAATATTTTTATTTCCTGAGCAATATATTCTGTCTATTCCAGTCCTCTGGACAGCACAGGGAAATTGCTTGACTGTAAATTCTGATGAAAACACCATTGGAAGGAACAGTGGAGTGTTTTGGGCACTTCTACAGTCCAGGTAAGGTTTATTTATTAATCTTATTTTTTTTGGTTGTGTACACATTCTACTTTTTACCTCTTTTTTTAAGTGGGAGACTGCATCCAAAAATACTCCAGTGGTACCTTGCAGTCAGTGAACTGAGCACTTCCTTTGCTATTGTGCATTACAGAGCAGTGAATGAAAGCTGGATATTGGAAGTCTCTGCTCTTGAGGTGCTGAAAAGACCCATTTCTGTTAGGAGAGCGTTTGACATCTGTAACAGCAGTCCTGTTGATTGTGGAGAGCTGTGGTAATTTGTGTCAGGTTCCTGAGTGCACTAATGAGCCCTAATGGTCCTGAGCAGCCTCACCTGGCACCTCCACCACAGCCTTCCCATGGGCTCAGGAGCCCTATTTAAACTCAACTTTGGGGCTTTGGCTCCTCTGGAGCTGGGATGGATGAGTGGGGGTATTCAGCTCAGTTGTACTCAAGCCTGTGCCTTGGTGAGACTAAAGAGGGTTGGTTTGAAACAGATGAAGTGCTTCTTTGTGCAATGGGTGATTAAACTTCTGGAGCTGGCTGCCACAGGAGGGTGTAGAGTTGGATGGTGTCAGCAAGATCAAAAAGGAATCAAGCAAATTCATGGGAGACAGGTCCACGAATGGTTCCTGAAGAGGGATCCCTTTTACCCACCCCACTGTGATACAGCAGTTCTGGATATTGGGAAGTAACAAGGGAAGTGAATTGCAGGAATGCTTAGGCTGGTGAGCCTGCACTAGGTGGCATTGCTAATGCTGCTGTGGGCACAGAATCCTGGATTGTAAAACACCAGCCTGAAACAGTGGCATGCTGGTTCTGTTCCTTAAGCTTTCTCTTCCAGAGTTAACATATTGGTATGTTATCAGAGTAGCAATTTCCACAAACCCAACCTTAATCTTACTACAAAAAATGCACCTGTTGGTTGTTCTTTTTGTTCACAGCTTATTTTTTGGAAACCTCTATATATACTTTGCCTGGCAAGGAAAAACTCACATATCAGGTGAGTACTGCTTGTTGATATGGGAAGCCATCCTTCAAAATATGGTAGCATAAATAAACAGATGAAATGATGATCTAGAAAGTGGCACAAAGATTATACAATAGCAGACATTTCTTTCCCTCAGTTTATTGCTAGATAGTCTCTTTTTGGAGTATGATTTTGATTCAATGTTTCTTGGCACTCACAGCCATGCTATGTATGTTGTTTTCCTGCCTGAAATGCACTTTGAGTACCTTCTTTTAGGGTATTGTGTATGGAATTCTTCAGAGGGCAAGTTGAGAGTAAGATTTTGCACAATAGTCACTCTGGGATTTTCCCTGTGCAGGCACACTTAGGCCAAAATACACTTATTTAGGAGGAAAGCTATTCTGGCTGTATGTTTAATATTATACATGCTATCCCATTCTAAAGGAAGTTCCTTGTGTAGGGTGTCCTTCTAAATCATATTGGAGATTGATTAACCTATGAAATAAAGGCAAACCATCCCAGTTTGCTTCATTGTGCTGGCACAAAGCAGTGAGGGAAGACAGAAGCTGAGATGTGCAGCTGGGCTGAGAAGGGGCTGCTGCTGTCTAAACTGGCAGCATTGGTGACCGAGGGAATAAAGAACTCTCTTTTCCTTTCTTGGCTTAGTTTATGAAGACTAACTTCCTAATGGGATTGTAATTAATAGTCTAGTTTTTCCATTTGTTATTGTGCTAGACTGGTAAAGAGCAATAATTGGGGAACAGAGGTCTTAAGTAATACTGTTAAGAAGCTGGACAGTGGTTGAGACTCAGTGTTTTTAAAGCAGAGATTTCTGGCAACTGTTTAAGCCAGGCAAGGTACGTGTGGGTATTCACTAAGAAAATTGCAGTGGTGAAAATAGAGCAAAGGCTAAGATTTTAATTACCAAAGATGAGCACTTCTAGGAAAACAACGTTCTGTAAACAAAAAAGTTTGATTGTCCTGTTCTATAATGACTGAGAATTTTCCTTACTGTAGTCCTAAAGTAAAATATGTACTAGAATAGTCAATTCTTTTAACCTTTAACAGATGAGGATGCTTCTGCTCTAGTCAGTCATCAAAATGCTGGCTTTAAAATTATGTTTATTAGGCTTCAGAAATACTGCCCTGTTGAGATGAACAGTCCACTTCTTTCTTATGTTAGATCCATCTTTTCAGGTTCTCCTGAAAAGTAGCACAGTAGCGCAGCAAAGGTTAATTTTACAGGTCATCTTCTGCATTCCTTCACCTTTAGGACAAAGGTTTAAGTGTTATTGAAAGTATTGGAAACACTTTGAACCTGGAGGCCCTGAAATTCTGTGCATTCTAAATTCTATTGCTCTTGCTAACCACAGAATAGGGCAATTAACTACAAAGCAGTTCTGCTGTTACATTTTCCTCCATCTTTAAATGTCTAGAGATTCCTCTTTATTGAAAAAATTGATATCAAAAGTTTTAATAGCATTTAAAAATCAATTCTTCCTTTTACTACCTATATACAAATACTACAGACTGTTCAAGGTGTGAAGCACTTCCTCTTTTTGATCTGTAATCACACACAAGTTATTTTTTGATCAATTTTGCATTTGCCAACTAAGCTAAAGGGGGAAATAAATACAAGCACAGGCAATATCTTCAGAGCCATATAGTAGTTAAATCACAAGTATTTGCTGTTTCTTGGCTTTTTCCCCCCTGCTTAATATTGGTAAATGGGAGTAACTTCTGTATTAAATGTGTCTGTGCCAAACAAGTTTGTTGGTGCAGCAGAGCTGGTGCACAGGGCAGCAGTTGCCTCCCTGCAGCTGCTGTGGCAGTTACTGAGGTTTTGGTGGCTTTAAGGCCTTTGTAGTTTCAGAGCCCACCAGTTTATGGTGTCACGGTGCTGCTATTTCTGATGCTGGTAAAGAACCTTTTTTTGAGAGATCTGAAGGGCTTTAGGTTGTTTATGTCCACTCTGAATTATGCAAGTCTTCAAAGCTGTGCTTTCTTCTGCTAATAATTGATGCACTTCCTTTGATTGGCTCCTGCCTGGTCATAGCCTTTGCGTGGCAGAAAACGCGAGGGACACTTTAATATACTGATGCTTTGTTAGCATCATAAAACTGAGACAGCAGCTGGGTACCTTTTGCTGCACGTTGAAGGTAAGTTAGAAAATGGGTGTGTGTTAAACACTGTAGTATGTCTGTGTCAGTTGTTTGGAGGTAGTTGAATTGGTTTGATTTGCTTTCTGCACGTCTGGTTACGACTCCTGTTTGTTTTCCCGCAGAGAGCGATCGCAGAACTGTCTTCATTGCTCTGACTGTTATCAGTCTTGTGGGCACAGTTCTGTTCTTTCTGATTAGGAAACAAGAGGACACAAAAGCTCCAGGGGATGAAGATTCTACTAATGAAATCCTGGGGGAGAGCTCGTAAGTGCTTACGGCAATAACATGTTGTCACATCTCCTCGTTTGTGCTCCTGCTCCGCAGTGGGACGCTGTGCAGTGACTTCCCCCTCTGTGCTGGAGACATGAATGTTATCAACAACCTGTAGAATGTAGAGATTTATTAGAAAACTGTCTGTTCTTTAACAAGTGAGAATTATTGTTCTTTAGATGGCATGTTCTCAAGGGTGGAGTGCAGTACTGCACATTAAGTTTTTCCTTTAATAAGTAAGTACCTTGGGAAAGATACCTTTCACTTCTCAGCTGATTATTGTTAAACATTTATCTGCCTTTCATAGTTTGTCTTGCCCTCATCAGCCCATTTTAAAGTCTGGAATAAACAGAAATTACTCCTTTTTTATGGGTTCTTTGACAAACTGGAACATGTTTTTCCTGTCTTCTCTAAATATACACATGCCACCCTAATAAATACATTAAAAATGACAAGTATGCAGGCAGATCCTGTGGAGTTTTGCCTTGAGGCATCAGCTTAAATATTTTGCTTTATTTAAAGAACAAGGCAAAAGTTAGAAAAACATCAATAAGTATGCCCATGGAAAAAAATGTTGGAAGCTAAAAATGCTTCAGAAGGAAGATTCTGTTAAGCAGGCATTGAGTAGTGCAGAAAGCAAATAAATTTTGTGGTTAGTAGTTTAGATCTCAGACACTTTTAAGGATGTATTGGTATATTCCAGTGCTGGGCTAGAAAATGTACAGAAGGTTTAAAAAAATGAAGGTGCCTTCCAGCACAGAAGTACTGTGTGGTTATTCTTTCTCCATTTTGACCAAGTCATTTGTTTACCCAGGTCTGCACGAAACAAAATGATGAGAGCAGTGGCTGCCTTCAGTAAGTACATTTCCACATAAAATACTGGCATCTACTTCCCAGCTGTCCATGGTTCTGCTGATAATGTGGTCATGGACAAATCACTTGGAACAAAAATTTGTGAACAAGTAATGTTTTGAGAGTGTATTTCAGTTATTGTGCTTTGAATATGGACCTTCAGGGATGGTCTGCTTGGAAAAAGGACTCCCAGATGGCAGGGGGTTCCAGCCCAGGGATGGCAGGTCACACAGGGACACAGGACTGAGTTCTGAGCCTGACAGAAATTCAGATGTCTCTGTGAGCATCTTGTGAATTTGAACCTTTCCAAAATGGAGCTTGGAAGTGGAAAGGCTTGGGAACCACTGAACTAATGTGGGGAAATTAGTGTGGATGTGGGGTTGGTGTGAGCTGGCTCCCTGCATCTCAGCAAAGCTCCTTTCAGGTGACCGTGTGACAAACAAAGCTTGACTGAAAGCAAAAAAAGGGAGGTGACTTCACTTCAGTCATGTACTGGTATAGTCCAGGAAAGATCTGAAGTGTTCCTTTGATGTAGTTTCAGATCCAAGCTGCTTTTCAACAGCTTCCTTCTATAGACAAACACGAAAAGAACAGATCACCACGGGGAAAGCCACTGTGTGAAAGATTAAAAAACAAAAACCACCAAACATAACAAGATAAAAAGTTACAGGTTGTTTTATTTTGTCACAGGTTGATACCAGTTAACAATTTAGAACTAGAGCATCTGTAGTTTCCTTTGAAGTTTGATGTGTTCTGCCTGTGACTGTTAAGTTTGTTTGGAGAATGTGGGGATGTTCACTGAGGATTTATTTCAGGAGACAATTGCTGTGAGCTCGGAGAGAATACAGAAATACAATGAGCAGAAAATTGCCTGTTAATTGGAAACTGTATCTTCTCTTTAATGTTTCCCCAGTTGCATTTCTTCAAAAAATGACTTTTGGATGACACATTTCTTCTAGATGGCATGTCAGGGTTGGTTTATTTAGCACTCTCTTTACTGTAATAAACAGTAAATAAAATTATAATGTGCAGTTTATATAATTCTAACCTATTTTCGTTTTAAGCAAAGAGCAAAAGAAAGTGTAGATTATTTTAGTAGTATTATCAGAAGTTAATCTAATTTTCATTGTTGTTCCTTTACAGAGAAATCTATTACACTGAGCTTCACCAAAGAGATGATGCTTCTCAGTGTCACAACAGCCTACACAGGTATGAAGCCATCAGTGAATCATGGTTGGAATTTTAGAGAAAATTTACATAGCTGGCTTTTATGTGATTTGATATTACACTACCAGTAGTTCATAGATTGTTTAATACAATTGTATTAAAATAATGTTTGTACATCACACCTTCATTAAGATGTGGGAGATTGCTGATGGCCTTCATTTTAGTCTTGGTTTTATTGGGAACAAGCTTAGCCATTTTCAGCCATTTCTGTCACTAGTATTTGGTGTGGCAGGGGTTTTCCTTCTTTTTAGCAACTTTTAATTAAACTTGATCTGCTGTTATTAGACCAAGGTATGAGTTGTAAATGAAAAATGAAGTTATTTTTGCCATAAACTAAAGCAATTCTTCTGCAAAAATACCATCAAATGTTCAAAAATGTTTCTGAGATCCTTGAATAGATTTTTGTGGGGTTTCTTGCTCCTTATTTGGCTTCAGGTATAGTTTTGTTCACGATCAAATTAAGTTTTTGGAGGAATAAATGCGTTTTCAGAACCTCAGCTCTGAGTCACCATTATGGAAAAATTGTCAGGTCTTGTAGGTGAAAAGGAAAACTTAGATGTGAACAAATTATAAACAGTGTCCAAACATCTGCTGAAGTTTCCAGTCAGCTCCTGGAGGAGAAATAGCAACAGCAGCTCTGGAGTTGGGTTGCTCCAACCACTGATCTGAGTTACAAGTTACTTCACACAATTGTGTTAAGCCAGATTAACTCACTTGAGTTCCTCTTGGGTGTTTAGTGCAGTGGGAATGTGGAGCAGGAGGACAAAGGAAGGGAGTCAGGTTTTCCTGGAGTATTCTCCAATTCAGTTCTACAGGTGGCATAAAAATAAATCACTCCAGATTGGGGAAAAAATGGCTGCTGCCATCTGGTGGCTCAATATTGCCAATATTGCCACTTTTTGTGGCAAAATACAAACTCCCATAAGGCCAACAAAGGCTTTTATTCCAGAATTCATGGTTGGGTTCAGACTGCTTCAAGTCCACCCGAATTTTGAAGCCGTGCAGTTCATCTGCTGCCTTGGGTGGCCTGGAAATGCAGACCAGGAGATGCTGGGCCATCATTTTCCTGTAGCAAAAGGCAAAGGAGATAAATTAGAAACAGTTTTATTTTGAGCTGTTTTACTCTGTTTAGGCAGAACACTTTGCATTGTTTTAAATACACTTCTTTTATTAAGGAGCTGGTATTTTTATACTGATGGTTGCTTACAGTCATGTTGGTTGGACTCTGCTGTGTCACCTTCCCTCACATTAATGGCAATGGAAAAAAAGAAAGGATTTTAAACAAATAGCAGTAGTTCTTTCTCAGTTTAAATTCATTGTGTGTGTGTATATAAAAGTCAATTTTAAGAATCTTAGCATCTTGTTAGTTTTTGGGGATGCAGGGTCTTTCTTAGGAATGTCATAACTTGGAGGGGGAAAATCTTATACTGAAATTGTGCTTTATCTCTTCAGTTACCTGAAGTGTTATTTCACATGGCACTTCCCATTCGGATGAAATTCCAAAGTTCTTGAAAAGTAGAAATATAAACTGTTTATAGAGATTGTGTCAACAGCACTGGGTACTGAACCTGAGTGCAATTAGTGCAACTTTTTTTTCTAATGTGGTTTTTGTAAACTGGCATTGGAGAATATAATAATCACATAGTTTAAAATTTCCTGTTTGCTTCTATTACACAGACTTCATTTAAGTTTATTATTTGAAAGATACCTGAGGGCAAAAGAGCCTTTAGACATAAAGAATTTTTTCATGACTTTCATAATAGTTCATCTATCAGTTCTGTTTGGTTTCCTTCAAAGGTTTGGAGTTAACATTCTTTTCTGGAGTGTATGGAACATGCATTGGTGCTGTGAATAGATTTGGCAGTGAAGAGAAAAGCCTAATTGGTCTCTCTGGTATTTTTATTGGTGTTGGAGAAATCTTGGGTGAGTCTAAATTTGCTACCTTTTGACAAAAAAAGAAAGGATTAGAGTGATGTAATTATTCAAAATGGGTTTTTTGTGTTTAACTGAATAGTGTATTTCAAGCTTCCAGCAATGATTATGTGAACAAGAAATGAAACAGGAGAAATGTAATTGGCAATGTGGTTCCTTATTGCACCGTGAATTATACCTTGCACTGTGTAAAGTGGGTGTAGACCAGCATGTGAAATACTGCTGCCTATGAATCCTAACATTCTGCATTCTATTTGGATTAGTGTGGAGACATACACAAGACTCAAAATGCAAGAAACAATAGGCTGCAGTGTTATTAGGGAGTTGACACCATTTTGCTATTTAAATGTTGTTTTTAAATAATATTATGTTTACATTTTTATTACTTGAGCGATATAGTAACTTCTAATTTTTTTTTAATAAATTGCTGCATTAAGGATTTCTTTGTTTTAGAAGATGAACTTGTGTTAAATAAGATGTGATATTTAAATAAAGTTGGATACAGGGAAGGATCATTAAGTAAATATTTCTCTTTTTTTCTGTAAACTCAAGAACTGTGGTGTTTAACAAAAAACCCACTGTCTGTTCAGCAGCAGCTTAGGTCCAGAGAGTTGCAGGCTTTTGCAATTAGGAGCTAAGCACGAGGTTGTCCATTTTCACTTAGTACTGTTGCAGTACTGGAGTAAAGTACTTGTTAAAAGGTGAAGTGTTTTCATCAGCAACCATCTGATAAATCTGCTGCCCCCATTTCTCAGACACCTGTAACAACCCTGAGCTCATCTCATGTGGCAAACGGGGCTGGGAGATGCTTGGGGCTGTTTTCATGTTTGATCTTTCAGCTATCCAGTATGGGCATATTTATAATTCCAGCTGTCAGTATTTAAAGTTCTGCTCTGTTCTTTAAATCTTCAGTTCTGATTCAGTTATCCAATCTTTTCTGCTCCTGCAGGTGGAGGAATCTTTGGTTTGCTGAGCAAGAATAGTCGCTTTGGCAGGAACCCAGTGGTGATGTTGGGCATCCTTGTCCACTTCATAGCCTTTTATTTAATTTTTTTCAACATGCCAAATGATGCCCCTATTGCTCCCATGGAAGGAACAGATCAAGTTGCTTACATGATTCCAAGGTATGTGAGCTTTCTCCTTTGGCTGCTTGTATATAAACAGCTTGTTTCTCCACAGAAAATCCCTTGAAGTTGTTTTTCTGTGTAGTGACTAACTCCACAGAAGAAGCTTTCAGGAAATTGGCTTTTATTAAAGATAGGCATTCTACCAGTCTGCACCCAATTTTGGAACTTAAATAGCATAAGAATAAAAAGCCTGAGGATGATTGGCAGCAGTTCTGTCACTTGACAGCTGATGTTTGACATGCAGCACAATGGTGAGACCAGCAGCTATTGTAGTAGGTGTTAAGAAGTCAGTCTATCTTGGGCTCAGTTCTGCTCCATCAGGGAGCCCCAGCCTTGCACTGTTGCACCCATTTCCAAAGTCTTTCAATGCTTATTACCAAATTCTTATTGAACTAACTGAAGCCATGCTATGCCTGTCTCTTATAATAATTGGAGAAGAATATGGGGAACTTTATTATCTCACCATTGCAACTGTCTTTGGGGGTTTATTCTTGCCAATTTGTGTGAAAATACGTTTTCAGTTTGTGCAGACCCAGTGACTAACTTGGAATTCTAAGCATTTGTGCCTGTGCAGATGACTGGTCTTAGCTGGGGTATTTTTCTGCAAAATGAATTGGTATTTCTCTAATATTCCTGCAGCTCAAGAATGCACCATGTGTCTCAGCTTTTAATCACTGCTCTGTGGGGTTTGTGGCTCCAAGCACCAAAATGAGTTCTTTTCCTGATTCTCATTCAGTGTGAATTGACTGCAGGTAACAGTAACAGAAGTCTTAGCATTCCAGAAAGTAAAAGCTGATGAAACTATTCTTTTTGCCAAGCCAGGCATTCCTAGTTCTTTTCCGGTGAAATTAAAAGTTTGATACCTTTCCATTTCCAAATTCCAAATAAATCTGCCAAAATTATAGATGTGTGAGCTGTTTGAACAAATGGCTTTTAAACTGGATTCACTTTCTCCTTCAGCAAAGAGGTGGCCATGCTCTGCAGCTTCCTGCTGGGGCTGGGGGACAGCTGCTTCAACACCCAGCTCCTCAGTATTTTAGGATTCCTATATTCAGAAGACAGTGCTCCTGCCTTTGCCATCTTTAAGTTTGTTCAGGTAATAATTAACAATCTTCCAAAATGTTTTGAACTGTTGGGATGTTACTGAAATGCTGGGTTGGCCTTTTTAACGAGCTGAGAAAAATTATGTTTCTGCAAATTATTTCATCCTCAATTTTGGTGTAAAGTAGTTTGTGATGCTGGAAATAGTTTCCTGGACTGTGATCTTAAAGCTTTGGCTGTGTTGTTTCTAGACAAACTGGTTTGAAATACCAGAGAGCTGCACTTGCAATGCTCCAAACACTTTTGAGTTTGGTGTTCACTTTCTACAGTGAACACTGTTTAAATAACAAGTGAACACTAAATCTGTTGTGTATCACATCAAGGCATATGTTGAGGTATAATGAAGCCTTAAGATTGCCTATCTCCTACAGCAGGATTCTACTGAGAGCTGCATATTAAACTCCTGTCAGTTTGATAATCCTCGTGTAGTAACATCAGTCTGGAAATCTCCACTGATAATCTTTTTTACGTGGTGTTTTTTTTTTCCTCTCAGTCCATCTGTGCTGCAGTTGCCTATTTCTACAGCAACTACTTCCTTCTGCAGTGGCAGCTCCTGATCATGGTGATTGTGGGATTCTTTGGCACAATCACCTTCTTTGCAGTGGAGTGGGAAGCAGCAGCAGCCCTGGCTGCCCGTGGCTCAGACTACAGCAGCATTTGATCCTGATAACCATGGCTGGTCTGATTTAAGGAACAGCACAGACATGTTTTTTGGGAAGTGATGTGAAAAGGTGGAAAAGGTCAAGCTGCTGCAGAGGTTGAGGTGGAGGAAGCTGCTACTAAATCGCCATCAGTCCAACTGGATTTGAAACAAGAAGGGAAAAAAATGCCAAATTTGAAAGGCTTTTTTTTTTCCCTTGCTTTACTCAACCAAGCATGGTATAAGTGTTCTTAAAAACCTGATATTAGCATTGGAAGGAGATGTATAGATCTGTGTATTGAACCATTCTGCTCTGAGATGTACCTTTCAGAATGTAATTGCCTCATTTCACTCTACCATGCACTACAGGATTAGTTTTGTTTTTTGCCCCCTAAATTATTTTTCCTATACACTAGTTCTGCAGACACATGAGTTCTGGTATTGAATGAGTGATGTTTTTATAAAGTAGATTATATCACAGATTGTCTGCACAACTGAGAAATCAATTTGGCGTTGACTTTTTCAACAATTAGATATGCTGAAGTATTTCCATGGGAAATGTTGCCTTTTTTTGTATCACTCAGCTTCTTGTTTCCCAACAGTTTGTTTATTCATCTCTTTCATGTGGCTAAGTTTTCAGATCCGTGGGGGTTTTTGTTTGTTTGTTTTTTTTCTTTTGTTTCATGCTTTTTCATTTTTGTTTTGGTTTTTTTTTTTGTAAGAAAATGAATCAGGTTATAGTGTGACATGAAAGATTTTTACAAGAATTTAAAGATATTACCTTTAGCCATCTTAAGGATGGGAACCCAAGGCCTGTGAATTATTGGTAATTGAAAACAGCCTTGTGGCTCAGTATCTCAGAACTGAACTGTTGGGAAAGGTGCTGAAACTTCCTCAGGGCTGTGCAATATGAAGGACCACAATCCATGGCTTCCCTCACAGGCTCCCAAATAGTTCTTTTGAGTTCAGTGGAGTCTTTATCATAAAATGATGAAAATCTGTGATGGGAGCATTGTCTGAGATAACTTCAAAAAGTACAAATAGACTCAGAATGTGAATGGTCAGAATAATCTTGCAGTGTTTATTCTACTGCATAGGCTGAAAACACCTGAAATGCTTGTCCTAAGTTGCTTTATTCAGTGTATTTTGGGAAGATTGTACTGTAATCTTACTCCACCAAATATGAAAACAGGGTTACTAGCATAGTAACTAAATTTTAATCCAAAACTGTTATTATAGATGATAAAACAGGCAGTGAATGCAGCTCACCTTGACTTTGCATGGCTCTGTAGTGCTTGCAGTGATGTTTCTGCCTGGTGGGCAATAAGATGCACCTGAGAGCAGGGGTGTAACACTGAGAAGGTGTTTTTAGACACTCCATGTAGCTATTTTTAGAAAAGTACCACTCACCAACCTTTTTTTATGCACAGTCAGGATGTTAATGTCTTTAAAGACAAGTTAAAGTCGACTCATTATGTGTCAGTAGCTCCCAGGTGTCATAACTAGGTAGGTGTACCCAAGGTTAAACTTGGTGAGGGAGAGTGGCATCTCCTGTGACATTTGCTGTCACTTTTGCTCTCAAAGAGCAGTGACACAACTCCTGTGAAGCACAGAGTTGTGAAGCACAGCAAAACAGCCCAGGGGCATCATTTTACAGGGCTACAGAAAGGGATTTTTAAATTCACTGCAGGTTTTTTGCTGTGAGATCAGTAAGGTGTTAATGGGAGGACGGGAGGGCACCTGAACATCCAGCAAGCAAAAGAAATCTTTGAGGACAGGCAGGAGAGAAAGCCTTTGTGTATTCCTGGGAGAGTCAATGAATGATGTAAAAGAGAATGAGACAGAACACACATTGAAGCAAGGGGTTGCTGAAGCCATTCCAATTTGTCAGGCAAACTGAAAAGGCATTCAGGATTGAATCAATATCTGATTAATGTGACCAGCAGCACAGTGAAGCCTCTCTCTCACCCACTCCTGTTATCCTGTAACTTGAAGAGTACTATTTTTAATATACTGAGCACTATAAAGGTATAGATTATAGGATGCTGCCAGTGATTAAAACTCTCTTGTTGCTACACATTTATATTTTCTCCAAAGTACCAAACAGGATAAATAGGGTCTTTTTCAGATAGGGAATTACTGACTTTTTTTTTTTTTCCCTCCAAATGCTTTCTGGGACCTGTTTTTCCTTGTATATCAACGAGAGCAGAAAGACTTGAAAGTTCACAAGGGGCAGTTTTGTCTTAGTGTATTTGGGGAAAAAATGATTCTTGGGTCTTGTGGTGATGAGTTATTAAATGCTTTTAAAACAATGTCATTTAATTGTAAGTAGGTTATGGCTCTCATGAGGTTGCTTTTCGAATTGATTCCTTTTAATTATGAACTTCTGTGATGCTCATTTGCCATATATAAATTATATAGACTATTTTATTAGAAATTAAAAAATTGCGAAGTTATTGTGGTTTCAAAAACCATTTTGAAGTCAAAGGGATAGTAATGAACTAGGAATGTGGGTTTTTAGTACCTTTGTGAATCTGATGCTTTACTTTTTTTTCCCCTATTCCTTTTCTCCTTTCTGGCCTGACTCAGTATCAGTCAATGTTGGAAGGCTGCTCAGAACTATTTATTGGGTCATTAAAGGGAAGTATTGTTTTGTGACAAGTTTTACAAGAAATCATGAAATTCTTAAAACTGTATCATAGATAACTATTCTTTTTTACTATTAACTTTATTGCTTTTGACATTTGATCTGAAGAGACAGGTTTCAGTTATTCAAGCTGCTTTTCACTTATTCGTGTTTCTTTGATTTGTCAAGAGGTGAAAAATCCTCTCATATACACAGTTGTTAGTTTGGTTGAAATCTTTGGTGCAGCAATATGAAGAACAGGAATGCTGACATCCATTTATGATTCCATCTCTGAATCTGTTTATCAGCATTTACCAACCATGAGGCTGCACCCCCTTCATTTCACCTCAGTGGCCTTTTAACGTTAATCTGAATTGGGAGCTTACTGTTAAATTAAGTGGGATTTGAAAGTATTTTTTTTCTGTATCTGTGGTATTGTGGCTTTGTTTTATATTAGTGATTTTATCTTTTTAAGCAAAATGACACATTTGTTTGGGTTTACTAAAAAGACCTCTTTCCTCCCCCCCCTCGTTCTTTTAGGTTGTTACTAAGGTTTAATATCTTGACATGTCACACCCACAAGTTTTACAAACAAATGCTAAAGAGGAAATGAAAACTGATATTCTTGACATTGAGTGCCAAAGAAGCTGCTGAAAAATTAGTCTTTCATGAATGTCATATAAACATATCTATATTTTTCTTTTGCCAGTTGAGTTTCATTTTTGATACATGAATGTATGGAAAGAGAATTTCTACAACTGTAGACCTTCTGTGTGTTAATTTCCATTAGGTACAATTAATGTTGTCAAGTTGAGATAAGGAAGAGAATGATGTATAAAATGTCATTTATAAATAATTCTAGTCTACAATTTTTGTGCAGATTGTGCTTAACTCAACAGGGATATAAAAAAAAAACCCCAAACCTACAGAACAACCAAAACCCCTCCCCAAACCCCTAAGCTTTACCAAGGTCCCTATCTTAGCAGAAACCTTCTTGTGGTACAGTTATTAAAAACTTTAAAAAAAACCTTGTACTGGTAAGTTTGTAGAATTTTTGTGACCATTTTAAAGTATGCTGGAGAGAGAACCTCCTGGTGGTGTTTGGTGTAACTTTATGAAAAAAATAAGTGTAGAAACCCATAAGTCAGTTAACCAGACAGATAAAGTCCCACTAGACTTTCTTTTAATTCCACAGGTTTGCTTCAGATGGGGAATGTGGTTCCCTGGAGTCCATCCTAAGTGACAGAGGTGCCCTGGCAGCTGGCTCCTGAGTGGTAGGGGTGTATGAAGAGAACCCCAAAGTTTGTGTTTTAGGACAAAGATTAATTGTTTGCTGTTAGTGTAAACAGGAAACATGATGTTCCACATCATGCCAGGAGACACAGTATCCAACTTGGACTCAATTTGTGCAAGTGTGTTAGTTAAGACAGGACTTTACAATCACAACCATTAATTTTTCTAGGAAAACATGTTCTCAGGGACTTTGTCCACAGCACTGTTTTCCTTGGAAGTCTTCCAGCCCCACTAATGCAAATTGAGTGGCAGCAGCAGTTGGTACCATGTTTTCCTTGATCCCTGGCTAACATGCAGGTAGAAATATTAAAAGATGGGAAAATTTAGGTGGAGCTGAAATTGGGAAGTTTGCTGCTTAACAAGGTCCTTGCCCTTCTGATATGAAGTGAGGTTGAGACTCCTGTAGTTTTCATGGATAAATTCAGAAAGGTGCCTTGATAAGTTTAACTCCAGAGAAGCACTAATGGGAGAGGGGGGGAAAATATCCTTGGAAGTGCAGTAGAGAGCAAATCTGGAAGTGAGAATTAGTCTCAGTGGGCACATGAAGAGGGTGCTTTGCTCAATTGAGTTTGGGCAGTGGCTCAATTTCTATTTAGTTCACAGTGTCTCTGTTAAGTTGGTTATTTCAGCTGGAGAGTGTGTTCCCCCAAGCCCTCCTTTTATTTACATTTTGACGCTGGCCAGAAGTCCAAATGATTGAAACTTTTTTACCTTAATAAAAGGTGTCTTTAGGTTCGAATTGGTGGTAATAGAGAGCAGGCTCACACAGTGATTATCCCTAATGAAAACGCTGTTTTCAACCGAGTGTACTGACTTTCTTTTCATGGTCACAGCCATGCAAATAAAAGTGAATTACAGACATTGTTTTTGTTAATAGGCTTGTTAAGCTGTCGGAATTGCTCCTGTCAGTGTTTTAAACAGTTATGCCAGAGGCTTTGGAAAAGAGAGTCAGAGTCTGAACTGATGGCTCTTGTTAGTGCTTTATAAGGGCCTGCTTAGGAAAAGGGAAATGTTCGGTTTAGTGCTAAGTAGCCCTTAGGAACCGCTTAATTCTAGTCGTGGTGTAGACTAATTAAGTGTCTCAGGGAAATCAGGGTGGCTGCTTCAGCCTGTTTTCTTTCTCTGTTTGAAAGCCCATCTTAAAAAAACTGATGGTGCTGTTGAGAGGAGAATGTTTTAATCTTAGTTTGGGAGTTTTGGGGGGTTTCTTTTCCAGTATCCTTTCCCATGATTTAAGTTACATTTTTTTTAACTCAAGAGTTTTATGTCTGAAAGACTCCACAATATGAATCAGAGTCGTGGAGTGCTTGGGTCCTGTTTGTCTAAAATTAAATGTAGATGTGGAGGGCCATTGTCCAGGCAGACACTGTGAGGATTCAGTCCAGGCTTTATCCTATGATTGAAGGGCATGGAGGGAGCAGCAGGGAACAGCTTTGCTGCCTCTCCTTTGTCTGGATAATACATGAAAGAATGCGATTGCAGAGGTGAGAATGCTGAGGGAAGGTAACAAGGAGGCCAGTACAGACTAATTCTTCCTGCCGCACTTTTTCCCTCGAGATTCGGTCATTTGCAGATTTGTCAAATTCCACTGTGGTTCTGGTGGTGTGATCTTTGGATGGCCTTGGCATTCTGATTTCTGAGAGAAAGAATCTGTATTCAACACCTGAGTGTGCAGTCCTTTATGTGAACAAATAGAAAAGAACCTTGCAGGTTAACTTTTGCTGCACACAGCCCTTTAAATCTTGGATAAAAGGACATTTAGGAGTTTGCACTTCAAAGTTAATCACGAAGGGGGAAAAAAAAATAGAAGTTTTATGCCTTAAATGAAAAAAAAAATTAGTCATTCTGTCATATGAAAGGGAAATTGCTATTTAAGTTCACATAGTGAAATTAGCTTCAATTAAGCATCTTTAGTAAATGTAGTGGTGACTGCTTATTGTCAGAGCCACTCATCTTGTAATGCCTGACCTGCAGAGTTTATGATTATTAATCTGTGTAAAAAACGCAAAACACCTAAAAGTCAACAGCCAATTACACAGATAATAACCTGTTTAAAAGAGCTTCACCACCATACATCATTATTTGTTTTGTGCTCACAAAAGTGTAACTGTGGTGGGGAGCATTTGCTTCACAGCTCCAGAGGTGAGTGATGGTGCTAAGGAAGTATTTCCTCTGCAGCAGGAGCTGTGCTGAGCTCCTCTGCCATGGCACTGAGTGTTGGGTGCTGAAGGCAGGGGCCAGTGGAAAGAAAGAATCAGAAGCTCCTGGGGTGTCTTTGCCCTGTTCCTACAGTGTGACTGATAGAGGGAAGCACAGGTGGAGGACACCAGTGAGTGCTCAGCCTTTTCCCTTGCTGAGATTTCTATAAATGCTCACCTAAAACTTGCAGGCCAAACTTCTAAAATTGCCTTTCTTTCCCATTGTATGTATTTCTGTAAGATAGGAAATAAAATATCCCACCTATATATAGGGTATAAATGACCACTCTCATGTATTCCTGTGCTCAGCTTGACACAGGGCAAACCCAACACTGTGCTTCCCTTTTGGTGTGTTCTCTGTGTGCAGGTGACCCAGCCATGGAAATATCTCCTCTTCCTCCCCTCAGGGCTGGGATTCAACAGCCACTTGTGCTGTAATTGGAAGTTCTGGCGAAAATAGGGCATGAGTGAGCCTGAAAAATGAGTGTTCCAGCGTTCACGTTCATCTGCTGCCCTTACCTCATTGCAGAGTGAAATAGAGCAGCAATCACAGGCACATCTCAATGACATTTATGAGTAATTATAATAATTATACTTTGTGAGAGCTTAATTCTGTGAAGTCTCAGATGTGTTGGTAAGACACGAAGTGCTGCCCTTCTGCAGAGGGTGGCAGAGGACAGGGCTCAGTGTGGGACAGCACTTTGCCCAGGCTCTGTGCTTTCATCCCAGTGCTGCTGTGATTTGACACACACATTAAAAAAAAAAAAAAAGACTGTAGGGGAAGAAAAAGGGCATTATGCACACTGGCTTTCATTTCATGGAGACAGCAATTGGATTTAGAGTTTGCTAGCGGGTAAAAAAATATTTGTTGTTCTGCAGCAAACAAACCACCAATTGCAGGGACTGGGAAGGAAGGAGGGTTTGAAATGCTGCTTCATGTTGAAAATTTCATGCTTCTGGGATAAAACACCTTTGTGCTGGGGGAGATCCTGGCATGTTGTGTAATACTGTTACTAAAGGTCCTTGTTTGGGTACTGTGCCCTTGCTGGGGATGGCACTGCTTTGCCTTGCAGGGTTGTCACTTCTGCTGCTCCTGGACATAGAGCAGCTCAGCCTGCCTTGATAACCAGTGGGTCTGCTATGGATGGAGCTCCAGGCTCAGGGGTGCATTCCTGGGGCTGTCACAAGGCCATGGACAACCAGACCTTGATTTTTACCCACTATGAGCATTTTCCTTTCAGCAGGCAGGAGAAGTTTGGCTTTCGTGACTGGGCTGGGGAAAGAGTTCCCAGGGCATAAACTGCTTCTGCTTGGGCAGTTTTAGACACCCCACCCCAAACTGGGGAACAAATACACATTATATGGGTCTCACTTTGCTTTCCAACACCAGCTCATCCCCACTGTGGGTCTGGATTCCCTGCAGGATCAAAGCCAATGATTTCAGCTTGTGAGGGAGCCAAAGGCTGTAGCAACATGTGGCCAGGTGGGAAGCAGAGGTGAGTGATTAAATATGCAGAAGGAAAACAGGGCATTATTTTTCATATTCAAGCAACTGAGAGTTTCAATATGATGATGTGTTGATAGGCAGCAAGGGACCAGCAAAGCTCAGGTTGTGCTTGTCTGTGAAGATGAACCTGTGAGCCAGCCTTGTGCAGAGCACAGAAAGAGCTCTCTGTGTCTCTTCACTGGCTTTTGAACTCACAGTATGTCGTGGTGTGGTTTGGTTTTGCTCTGTGTGAACATGTGTCACTTCATTTTAAGGGGAATGAAAGGTCATGTTGCTCCATTAAAAATTAAACTTCTTTTCAGATGGTGATGAAGCCTTAAGGTGGCAGGTGCTTAGGCTGGGGAATAAAGGAGTGTGAATACCCTGGTTAGTTCTAAAGAGCTGAAAGTGCAGTTTCGTGGTCAATATTTTCCTGAGGGGCCATATTTAGCAAGAATGATAATGCTCCTGAGTCACTGACTGAAACCCTCAAGTGTACTTGTTTTGTTTCTGGTGGAATTAAAGGCTTAGGATATCGATAATACTTAGATGTGGAAACTGGTCAATATTTTTTACTGGGAAGTACTGCTGTAGAATATTTTATTTGTTTTTCCTCCTATTAATATATTCTTCCTCTCCAAAAAACTTCATGCAGGAGATAAATATTGCAAAACAGGAGAATTTCGAAGCGGAAAGCCTAAGGCAACAGGCAGCCTCAGTGGAGGAGCTGAGATTAGCTGCTGGTTGCTCCCAGCTAATCCAGTTTGCAAATCCCCGGTCGGCACTGCTTTCCTGAGGGAGCTGCTTGTAGCTGTAAACAGCCCCGGGCTCTCCAACCCAAACCCTCTCCACATCCAGGCTCTGGCTGTCCTTGATGTGGCTGCAGAGGGTGCTCTCTGCTCGCCCGGCGCCTGTTCCGTCCTCTCCTGCTCTCCACGGAGCCTCCCCAAAGTGCCCTTTGGATCTTGTTCCCACCACCAGCAACTGGCTTTCAATTAAATCCAGCTCAGGTCAGCTTTTGACAAGCAGCCTCCCTTGTAAC